CATTTCCTCGTAATAGTATAACGTAATCCACTACCCTTTTCCCGTGTGGAAATATTACAATATTATTACTGAATTATATTTCTAGTGTTATATTTTTTGTGTAACAAAACAACGTGTACCCCACTACCCCTTGTAACGGGTCAGGCATTTCCTGCCCATCTTTTAGGTGTGTGGAATAAAGTACGTTGTTTAAACCTTACTCGTGTAGCGTGTACTTGTTGTTTATGTCGCATATAAATTATATAACTGTCCTAAGTTTCGAATTATTAAAGGACCCAGTTCACAGGGGTGTTATGGGTGTCATTTGTTTGGGACAATTTGAAACCTTAGCTCAACCCAACTAGCACCCTGTGACAATGCATAATTATGTGATGTATTATTAGTTTTGTGATACCGCATTACTTCTGTGATATTCCTGATATTCGCTTTATTATCAACACCATATTCTTTAAAGAGGCAATATAATATATTTTGTTAATATTGTTATACGACACTCCATGCTTTAGAGCATGATTTATCATAAAATAAAAATGTTGCCTGTGCAGAGTTCGTTAGATGACAAATCAAAACCATAAATACGCATGTGCAGGAATTGACATTGTACGTACCAAAACAACAAGTGCCCATGCGTACTAGAGAATTCCATTGTGACATCGAATGAATACTCATATGTGTGCTACAAGAACAGCGTTTTTATTTCATTACAAAACATAGTCTAATGTATCTGCTAATATATGAGAGTATCAAACAATAATACTAAAAATTACATGTTTTCGTCCATATTCTACCTTTAATATTTTAATATATATGTGATATATGTTTATATCATAAGTTTCATAACAATAAGTATGACATACCAAATACATCCTAAACATTTAATGAAAGGGAAATGTGTATGGGACACGCATGAAAGTTTTCGGAAATACTTAAATGTGCGACATTTGTGTTGATAAACATTAATTTTCCCACAATCCAATGCGTTCTTCTAATGAAAATCACAGGTATGAGGTTTGACCTGGGCGCAACTTGCACTGAATACCGACGGTGACTCCTTCGATACCTTCCAATCACCTAAAAATACCCAATTAAAGCTTGGTAACGTCTCAGTTTGTACTCTCCGCAACAGTCAAGCCATCTTTGTTTATATGAGACCGATATATCTCGCGCATGCGTGACGCGAGAACTACCTCCCTTTAATACAAAACGCAATATGGCAAGACATTTAGCTCGTCGCTGTATACATCACAATTGTATCATGTTTATGTAAGCCCATCTGTTGGGACATGTATATAATACACTGCTTTGGAGTGGGTGGGTATGACAGCTATTCATTATTTCAATAATTGATTAATTAGTTTGCCAAGGGGTGATATTACTAACACAAACAGCAGGGTGTTAATTTGTCTATCCTGTGTGACGTAGATTAAATAAACGATTAGGTGCGTGTTCGTTTCGCAATGTTCGTGTTCGATTTCATTCATTCGATTACTTAATAAAAGTTCTTGGCGCGGAAGTCTCGCCAATTCGATCAACGTTGATATATCATTTGACGTAGCGTGTTACATTCCTTACACAGGCAACAGATGGGCATTCATTCATTCATTCATTCATTCATTGTTTATTGTTGTGAACTACAAATTTAGATTAAGTGTTTTATCATGCACTTCAGCTTACTTATGATAATTTGTCTGTTCTGGAATTGCACAAACGAACCAAGCAATTCGACTTACTAAACTTGTAATTAATTATTTAATCGAAAGCACGATTAAATTCCGTAGTTACCTATTGTAAATTTATAGTTATCGGTAGTGGAAGGTCACGGGAATTACAGAAAGGAAATATTCAGCGCGGATATCCAGTCGGGAGGGGAAGGTAAGGTTCCACCATCGACTGCAGCTGCGTCTGCCAAATCCCATCAACAGGAGTACTAGTATATGCCTGTACTTTAACTTTTATATCACTTATATTATTGTGTCACAAGACATACAGATAAGAGTTATTACAGTTTTGTTTAATTCACGACAATGTGGGGATACTATTGTAAATTATGACGCTGCAAAAATGTACCTCAATTTTTACAAACTATTCACCCATTTAAGTTATAGTTTTATGATCATCAAATAAAACCCTGCATTCATTGATACGCGGGCGATGTTAGAACAGAACAGTCGCATAATACCATATTACATGTACATTTCAGAGTACCAAGCCACACGCCACGCGCTTCACATATTATATGTTGACGAAGCGCCATCATGATATGTTGTCACCTGACAGTCCAGCCAATCCGCGCTGCGCCATTCATGCAATTCATGGCAGCACCAAATACGTAATCTAATTAAAATAAATAACATACACGAAATAATTAATTTCATTACTATAGTGTCTCGCACTTTTGTTTCTCATAGTGAACATGAATCGACAATTATTGCTTCTCCTCGCCGCTGTGCTAATGAGCAGTACGGTAAATAGTGCCCCCAACGGCGACCAACCACTCGAAAAAAAAGCCCTTTGCAGAGCGGCCAAGCAAATGAAGAATATGTTTGAAAATTCGTGTTACATAAATCAGCTACACGATATAATTGAAGAACTAAAAGAAAGGGTAGCAGCCATTGAAGAATACAAATTTATGCAAGGTGAGATGTTCGGTTTTTCAGAGCCCCCCCCCCCCCAGATGTTGGCGTTTTTGTTGTTGAATGTACCTTACTAATAACACTCGACCTGACATACATGTTTTGGTGCCGCCCCTTAATTGCAAACGCGTTTACTGAATGCAGATTTTAGAATCTCCTCTAAGTATCCACACCTTTACTGCAATATCCACTCTCTCCTATATATTGGGTACAGCTCATTCGCTATGCCTGGGTCTGTCGTACATATGCATAGATTTTAGAACGACATGGTTCCTTTTGTCTAAACTATTAAACATGGTATTTTGTAAAGAGCGACTTATCTTGTCGATATTGGCTTCGTTCAGTTCAAACTCACTGTTATATGAGCTTTGCTCAGTAAAAACTCAATTTAGTGTTTTATAACATCAAAAACAAACTCTGCTGCCATGGTGATTTCCACGGCATCATTATAAAGACGACATCTATGTTCAGTGACAAAATAACACCGACGCATAGTTGTATTCAGTTGCCCAACATTTAGAACAGGTTCGTAAATGAAGCTTTGAGAGTGGGAGAGAAAACTCCCCCTTTCTCACGATCAATTCATTGACAAACTGATTAAAATGTATAGTTCTCACTGTGAATCAATGTTGTATACACCCACCAGAAGTTCTACCAGGAGAGCCTGCAGACGAGGTGGCGGACGACGTCACTCCACACGTCGAAGATGAAATCCCAGACCAGGAAACTTTACCGAATACTATAGACGATTCTTCTTTAGATGACACTCTGAAAATGGATTCCCACGACGAACCACAAGAACCACACAAAGAGAACGAACAAAATGATGCCCCTGGTAACGACGACGGAGGTGAGATCACTAATATCCCCAAAATATAATGCATGTGAGCTATTCGATACAATTTGTAATCAGTTTTTTCCCATTATTTATATTTGTTTGGACATGATTAGCGTAGATTAGATACGATTAGCGTAGATTAGATACAACCAACAATCGACACGATTAGCTAAAAAAAATTACTCCTTTACATCTTGTGAAATATGCCATCTAATACAACACTTCAACTTAGTTTGTCGATGTCGGAAATGAGAAGCGAATAAAAAACATTCGACACCCTAGGTACCGCCCAGTGTAATACATAAAAAATACATTGCAGAAAACCTGTCCGGGCTACAAAGAACATATTTTAATAAGTATCTACTATAATAGTAGTTGTCAGGTGAGAAACATATTCCTCCTCCCTTGAAGTAAAAACATGTAATTTGTTGTAAATGCACTTTTATTGAAAGATTGAAGTTATTTGTTATCGCCATCAACGTTGATACATACACGGACTGCAGCTGCGCATGCTCTTCCTAATATATAACACAACATTTCTATTCAAATTACAGGTGCAGCGAATCCCGACGAGAGCCTCTTGAAAAACGACGAGCCAGGTCCAGTTAAAAACTTCGGTATTGTAATTGTACTTAACATATGGCGGTGTTTTAGGCGTGTATACCATTTCAAATTCTGTTTACAATTCAATGTTCTATCAGGGGTTAAATCTTCTTTCTCGGGGTTCTCCACACGTGTCAGGGGGGAAACTCGTCTCGTCTCTATATCTCGTCCCCTTGAGGTACGGGATCGGGAAAGTCACTTATACTTTACAGTCAAATAAGACACACACAACGAAATACGTTTCAGCTCTCGTCTTAGTCGGTCAATCGAGCACACTATAAGACACAGCGCCCTGGGGAAAAGTCCCCAAGACTCACAAGGCTGAACCAAGACTCGCCCAAGACTGGACTGCGTCAAGGCTCGCCCCAAGACTCTCTCGGACTGCGTCTGTCGTGGAGTATTCGCCAAGACCAACTCAAACTCTCTTTATTCATTTTCAAAACTCTAACCTATTACAAAACAGTAAAAGACTCTAGGGCGTAACCTTCAATCATAAAGCCAATCACACTAAGTACTGAATACGTCATATCTTTTGATTAATCGTTCACTACATTAATAACTATGGATACCAACTGTCAGAATGAGTAGTCTAAAAAGCGGTGGTTATCTGGTAATTAGTTTCAAATCACTGAGCCAAGTTCCGTCCAAAACTTCAAATAGACCTAAACGATGACAGACGTAACACAGCAATTCAGCTAATAATCAGTTAATTAAGTCGGTCAACAGATACGCGAAAACAAATTCATGACAGTTCACCGACGTAAAAATACTGACAATACTTAAAATTTGATAAATTGATAAAACTAGGGTTTTCTGAAAGACGCCGATAATAATAACCCTGTGCCAATAGTCATCTCCGATGACGAGTACAACCAAATTGATGTGACGCTCGTATTATAACACCCAGACAATATGTTGTACACAGAGATAAACATGCTAAAGCTTGGAACACATTGGGTTGAAAACTGTTTTAGCCTGAGCTTCAACGGGCATGATGTTAGTTGGACCTTATGGTCCAAATGCGTGTGGACAAGACTGATAGAAGTTAGAATAATGTGTATTTAATATAAATAAAAAGTAAAACATATTTATATAAGTTTTTATTTGATGACATACTAGTAAGTGGTTTTAAAAATCTTAAAGGGGAACCTTCCAAACCCAGGGATTGCACCAAAGAATCATGGGACACTATTGTTTATGTTGTTTACAAAGTTAATCTAACTATTGTTATCCATTGTAATTTTAATCCAGAAAGTAAATTTGTTGTGAGATTAGGCTTAACTGGAAGTGCCCCTTTAAGTATTTGAATTTTCTATCGGTACACTATTAAAGCTATTATTGGTAATTTGTTTTTCAGGCCCTGGACGTGATGATGCAGTCCAGGACGAAAGTAAGTTTTTTATAACATTATCGAACTGCCACATTATAATGTGTCGCCCATTTACACCATAGAAGCACTTCGTCGGTAGAGGGCGCGATATATTAGTTATTGTAATTCCTGTTAAACAAACTGCAATGAATTCATGATGCAATACGCTTTGTCACATGCCCCGCTGAAGCGTTTGTCATCCCGCGAATGGTAATTTTGATACCACTATGAAATATATAAATCGCATAATAATTATAATGCTTCTCTCTTTGCGAAACACTCGATGGTTGTCTATCAATTACCCAGTCAGAAGATATGTTTTCTTTTTTTGCAGCAATCTTTGCTGATGCTGATAAGCTAGTCATTGATTCATCATCAAATGTTGCCATTAGAAGAGAGTTACCTGACTTAAATGCCATCTCAGTTTGTCTCTGGATTCGCACCGGTAAACATAAAGATGGTAAGCCAATCTCATACGCTGTAGGCAGATCGGAAAATGAGTTCGCAGTTATGAAAACCGAAAACTTGCAGTTGTATGTCAATAACAAAAAGGGCAGTAAGAGCGATGTGGCCATAGACAACAGCAAGTGGAACCATCTGTGTGTCACGTGGTCGTCAAATAAAGGTCAATGGGATATATATCATAATGGCGAAATGGCAGCGACTGGAGACAAACTTGAAAAACAACACAAAATAAAAGGTGGTGGAGTGATTATGCTTGGTCGAGAACTCAGGGGAGAGATTGCCTACGTCAATATATGGAGGCGTATTGTATCTGCTGATGAGGTTGCATCCATTGCATCTGATTGTCTTGGACAAGCTGAGGGGGATTTCTTCTCTTGGAGGTCTGGCGATCTGGACATCGATGGAAGTGTACAGGTCCTGCCTGCTGACGTATGCGGTAAGACGTACGCATGCACATATAGTTAAAGTTAGGTTTCATAATATTCTGTTAAGTGCCGTCATTGTAAGACAGTTAATACTGTGAATATAGCTGCAAATCGGTTATTATCAGATTCCAAGTGCAATATTTTGTCTGTTGGCATTCAGTCGAAAACGTAGGTAATGAACCCTAGGACGTTTCGTAGTAACTCTCTAGGAACGTAGAACACATTGCCAGAATAGAAGATGATGCATATTGACTGTCTAATTTAACTAATTGCTTTTAAATTATACACTGAGAAAATTCAGTACCTAAGACTGAGGGCTTTCTGTTTTAGTCAGGTATAATATAAATTATCAAGATGCGAAGATGTCAATAAATTGAACTTTCACTGAAATGATTAAAACCTTTAATGCATTTTAGATATCAAATTACAATAATTCATTTGCGATAACTCATCACTGTTAAATTAAAATTCCCACTTGCAAATCTGTGAGTTATCGTCCTGTCACGTGACCAATATACACACCATTAAATGTTGAGATTTTGTATAAATAATGTGAAATTTGCTACAGAATGTGAATTTAATCCATCTTCCTAAGGTAGATTTGTAAAGAATGTGCATTTACTGAGCTATTTTCATGTTAAATGTACTTGTGGTTCGTCAGAAGAAAAAATAACAATCTCAAATTGTGGTTCCAAAACAAATCCGACTCATTTTCCAAAGACTGGGATACAATTCATATGGTTCTAACGTTGTAAAAAGGTCTTTATAAGTAGTACTAATACTTCCCGGATTTTCCACTGTTTTGCTATTTAGAAAAAAATAATAATATATAAGACAGATGCAATAACAAAAACAAAAAAAGAGGCAACACTTTAATTTTGCATTTGCACTTTCATCAGAAAACAACGTTGAATCTCATGTTGAACCTGAAATTATTGGTCAAGATGGTGGTTTTATAAGTAAGTATTTCTCTATTTCTCTGTCACGTTCTTATATGTGAACTTATTCTCGGAATTGTCTCGGAAAAAGGTAACAATGTATTAGGCTTTCCAAAAGCAGGGATGAAATGACTGAAGCTCATATTCTTCACTCAAGTTTCCCATTATGCTAACCGTCCTTCTATTTTATCGTATTCAACAAATCAAATGTGTACGTGTTTTTAGGAAATAATTTCCTGGTACTAGTACGTGAAAAAGAGCGTAATTATTTTACATATTTCAGCCGAACGCCGCCATCTTGAACTGTGTACATAGCAACCCGGGATAGCAACGGGTCATACACGTGATAACGACACACTACACGCGCGAAGTTGCGTGAGAGTTATTAATAATAAGTCATATCGATATATACTTGTAGTATGTGTTATTTTAATTGTCTGCTTATATATTTTGTGCGAAGTCATAAGAAAACGTTATCGAACTCAATTTTCATATATGTATTCGGCCAGACTTTTTTTATTTCTTGTTTCTCGAGTTTTTATAGGGCAACTTTTTTGAGGAGAGCGGAAACAAATAAAATTAATTCTTTTTCCCCAATTAGATTTGTGTGATTCTCAAAGAATTGTAAGGGAGATCATTGATCGGAGAAATGAAAATAATAAGATAAAAATAATATTTTTTTAGCATTTTTTTGCGCTTACAAGTCGGCGGCGCGAGAAATTACGCTGATTCAGAATTTTTTTCATTTTATTTTTGGCTTCTGTTCATTCGACGTTTTCGCAAAACAAGGGATAATAAAAGTCTGGACTTATGATAAATAATTGTTGCATGGTATTTAAATTCGTCCTCGTAAAATATTATGACCCAATATGGAGCGTATTCTTCCGTTTAGACTATGTCACGATTGGATGCTGGAAAGATACACGTGATAGAGCAGTGCCGTCATTGGAAGGAACTGACAGCAGGTTGGATGGTTCTTCTCGGAAACGCGATGACGCAGTTGCAAAGTGCGCTGAAGTAGCGGCATCTAAAGGATATGCAGTCTTTACTGTACAGCATGGTGGGGAGTGTTACAGCGGGCCAAACGCTGAGAGTACGTATAACAAGCACGGACCATCCGATAGGTGTAAACACGATGGCAAAGGCGGGGTATGGGCCAATCAGGTCTACGAAATAGTTGAGAACCAAATAGTCTGTGAAAATGATACCCTTAATCTGCATTGTAACAGCGGCAGTATTCACGTGATTCACGCCAGTTATGGAAGAGCTGATGAAACAACCTGCCCAGGACCTTTCCAGACAACGAGTTGCCATGCCCAGAATAGCGTACAACTAGTTCAACAGCAGTGTGAAGAGAAATCATCTTGTAGTATACTTGCCAACGATGCTTACTTTGGAGATCCCTGTTCCGGGACAGCTAAATACTTACAAGTGAGATACCATTGTAAGTTTGTTTCATCTTTTAAGGGCCGTCTATTAATATAAATATTGTGCAATTCTTACTAACAAGTACCGCCATTTATACAACACGCTTAATATTTTTTTTCATTAAATAGGCCAGAGCGCTCAGAGTGAATCAGGTAACAAACACGAACGCAGAAAGTCACGAGATCAACCAGGTAAATATTGTAAAAATACTTACAGTCGAAATTCCGCTGCAAAACTTTCAGTACATATTTTTCTGTGGCTTTTTCCCCCTTAATTTTGTTACATTCAAATTAAATAAACAAAATTTGACAAAATATTGAAGATTATGATTACTATTTTGATAAAAACAGGACTACTTTGCGGAAGATGACATCACTGACAATGGCGGTGAGAAAGTTAAATCAAATTGCCTAATTATTAATGGCGTATAAATTATGCATTTCAGATGGTTGCACGTGCGTTGCATGGGCAGACCCGCACTATGTACAATTTGACGGTGGGAAGATGGATTTCATGGGCAAATGTGTGTATACCTTGGTTAAGGACGTGTCATCTTCCGTACCTGCCTTCCAGGTAGACGCTAAAAATGCCTACAGAGACGGCAATTTAGACGTGACCCTCCAAGAATATCTGAATATATATGTGTACGGTCTCAGTATTCGAATTCACAGAGATAAAGGTGGTGATGCCACGGGAGTGTGGGTAGGTATTGTATGATGAACGCGTGACACAATGCGTACAGTATCCATAACTGTTCTTGTGTCGGTCCTTTGTTTTCGTGAAGATATTTTATTATTTCTGATATATTTGGTGTTCTTAAAGTTAGAGTTATTATCAGACAAATACTACGATAAAGAATTTCCGTTTTCGACATTCTTAAATTCTTTCGTTTTTATGGAGGAAAAACAATATTTTTACAATGGGGGATTGGCACGAGGGCGCCATCCGATTCGACGTCAGTCGTGCGTGGCCCATCGTCAAAGCAGCAACGCCCCGTTTATGAACAGATGAAATAATTTCTTTACAGAATAATCCTCAACAAAACTTAGAAACATTTCATAGAAAAATACAGGCTCCTTAATTATGTCTATTGCAAAACAACTTTTCAACCGACAACCAGTTTGACGCCACAATTTCCTGCTGGAGCCCGAGTTCTACGCGTGATTTTATTTCATTTCTCGAAATGCACACTAATTAGGTAACTTGTCACTGATAAAAGTCACAATCGTGTCATGCAATTCCCACGTGACTTTTACAAAGTAAAATCATATTTATTAAAGTTATTGTTCATACACGAGTTGTTGAACACACTACATAGTATATAATTTCATTCAGCTTCCTTCAGTCATAATTCAAGACAAGTGAAATAACAAAAATATCGAAAATATACTAAATTATGTTTTATCTCTAATTACTATTCCCGTGTTATTGGTAATTATTAAAATTATCATTGATATGCATATGGAATACATTTTTAATGAAGTACTCTTAACATATTTTTGAATTCACGTTTTTTGCTCTCCCCCCCCCCCAAAGAACTATTTCAGAATGTCGTAAACGGAAATTCTTTATCGTAGTGTTTTACATTAGGATTTTATCGACATATGAGAACTAAGTTTTCTCCCACCGACCTGAGTAATACAAACGTACAACGCGTAAAGGTATCGCAAATAACATTCGCGTAGCATGTTTGTAGACGCAAGTTTGTTAAATAATCCATAAAATACTAATGTCCGAAAATAACAAATACGATTTTATTAGTATTTCTTGCGATTGTTTCATCATTTCGCAATATGCGTGATCTTTTTCGCATCGCTGCACCTCACCAGTTTGTCTACCTTGGCTGAGTCTTGGTAATGTTATTGTTATAAATGATAATTTCTTATAAGAATGAGTTCGTGTAATAACTCGCGTTGATGCGAAATGTCGCATCGATTCATCATTTGAAAAATTATAAAATTGCCAGGCATGCAAATACATTGTTCGAATACGCGCGTTGTGGCGTTGCCTGCTCGGGCTGTGTGACGACTGTGGCGCCGCGTAACTATTGTATATGGAAAGCCGTACGGGACCCTACTGCGTCAATATAAATTGCATGGTAAAACATATAGCTTCAAAATTATGCTGCTTCTTCAACAAAAGTGCGATTTCCGATGTCTACGTTTACCAATTGTAGTAGTAGCAATCAGCACAAAACTTATTCACAGTCGTCGCTAATTAATTAGTAGTTGTCGCAAAGCGAGTTGTAGTAGTCGCGATTTAACGGGTGATGATTTGTAGAAGTCACTAACCCACTACAGCGTATTTGTCGTTGATGCGGTTCCTTAATTTATAGATGACGACATTTCATTTTCCAAGTAGTCGAAGCAAACAAGTCCCCCTAGTAGACGACGCAACTTGCAGTTTTCAAGTTGTCGACGCAAAACGAGCCCCCTAGGTGTCTTTCCTTTTTTTATTTCTAGTTGACGCAGACACATTTTTGCAAGTAGTCGACGACGCACATTAGCATTTTCAAGTTGACGCAGTCGCATTTTTTGCTAGTAGTCGACGACGCACATTAGCATATCAAGTTGACGTAGACGCACTAAACATTCTCAAGTTGACGCACATTGCATTTCCAAGTAGACGACGACGCAAATTGCATTTTCAAGTTGACGCAGACGCGTTTCCTGGTAAACGACAATGCACAGTGTATTTTTCAAATTGACACCAACGCAACATTTGAGTTAGGGTGCGGATG